TGCTCCACTGCACGTTTCGCTCCACCATCCTTAGTACACGAATGGGTGCTTCCTATCAGGGCTCTTCAGCCACCATCTCAGTGCACCGAGAAGGCACAGGAGCCATTAACGTTGTCCCAGAGAGGCCTTTGCTAAAGATTTATTAAAAAGTTTATAAACTGTGAGAATCCCTGCCTTGGAGCCAGCCTGTGTGTTGCTCATAAACAATATTTTGTACCCGCCTGGGTGCCTGGGGAGCCTCCAGGCTCCTCTGAGGAGCAAGAGCTGGGCTGGGCATGGCCGAACCTGCGGGAAATGAGACTCCATTGGGAGCTATTTTTGGAAAGGAGAGCATTTATTAAGGCACAGGACCAAAAGGCAGGACTCCCCGCTTCTATTTTCAGCTCTGCTAGTGACAGAAGTCGCCTTGGGAGATGATTTTGGCTGAGACCGAGGGATGTGGAAACCCGGAGTGAGGCATTTAGTCTCCGGTTTAGCCTTGTAAATGAATAGCTGGGTTGCAAATCACAGCAGGGTTGCTTACATGAATGAAGACGATGGATGCTGCTGGCTCAGGGTAGGTGCAGAACAGTGGTGTCTTTACCCCTGGAAAAGTCATGAGATTATCAGAATTTTGCTCCTGATTCCCTGGAGATTTAAATTGAGCTGCAAATAGTCCCGTTCTGATTCTGAGGCTCTCTGGGTGTTTGATGATCTCTGTTCCTCTTCCCTACGGATGTTCTTTCACCTTGGTTTATTGACATTGCTGCATTTTCATGGCCTTTGATTTACACTGAAGTTTTACATAATTGAAAGCCAGCATTTTACGGAGACCACAGCAAATGGATCACTGGGATTACAGACGGATTGCCCATAAGCATTTTGGGTTTATTTTAGCACAATTATCAATGCCTTGTTCACATCTCCAAAGTAATTTTTAAGTGTTTTAAACGCTTTAAGTTGTTTTCCATTGTGCAGCTCTAAAATGCCTGGAGTACCATACTCCTTCCTTTCCAGCTTTGCTCTTTCTAATTAAACAAACTGTTAATTCCCTTTCCCAATCCCAGGGAAAGCCAGGGAAACGTGTAACAAGCACAGTGGCTCGTTACAAGCTTGTGCCACCTCCTTGTGTCCTGTCCATCTCCATTGCATCCAGGGATCCAGCTGCTAATTAACGGTGCTCCATCAGAAGCAGCCCGGGGTTTTGCATGTCAGCAAATGTTATTTGAACACAAATATTTCAGGAATAAATTTAAAGGCCTTTTCAAATTCTTACGTAAATGGGGTGTGTAAATTCCTTTTGGAAGGCAAAATAGATGATTAACCTGAAAAGCTTTATGGTGATTCCATCATATGCTTTTAGTGAGAGAAAAAAAGAAACGGACAACCTTTCCTCTTTCAAGTCATTTTAAGTGGTTTGGTTTTTTTTTTGCAAGGGGGAGTTCAGTCATTTCTTTTTCCAATGCTAACGTGAAGCACAGTGGATATGAAATCTGGATATGCAGATTTTGTGCCGGGATTTATAAATTGTACTAAGAAGCTTGCATGGGTGTTTTAAGTCCTTGTAACCTTTGGATGTAAAGCCAGACTTTGGAGGACTTTGGATTTATTAGTATTAGCAGCAGGCAGATTTGCACAGCTGAGTCTTGGCTGAGCTTAAAGGTCTAAGCAACAGGCGTGGGGGATCCCGGAGCAGCAGAAGGTGCTGGGTGCCTGGATGGGTGCTGGGTGAGAAGCTGCAGTGACAAGAGGTCTCCTTCTCCAGTGGCTCCAGGAGGCTGGAGCCAGCTTTCTCCGTGCCATCACTCCGGAGGAGACAGCGGTCCAAACCCACGCACTGCCCTTTGCATCCTGGCCAGGGTTTGGGAGAGGCTGGTGCCGGCTCCAGCCATGCATTGTGTAGGACCCAGCTCCTGTCTGCTCAGGAGAAGGATGTTGTCTTCTCCAAAGCTCTAAGCAGAATTGGGATTTTTTTAATGTGAAAATCATTAGACGGGACATAATTAACGTTCCTTATTGCACATTAACGTTACCCAGAGTCAGGCTGCAGATGTAATTTGCTTTGATTAGATATGTAGCTTTAAAAATTAGATTCATCCCAACCTCTACACTATTTATTGGCCTGTTTCCCTTTCCCTAGCAATCCGTTACTATCTGGAGCCCTTTCCTGCTCTGTCTGGGTAGCTTAGGTGAAATTAGTGCAGAGTCAGCCTTCCCCATGGCCCTCCCTCCGTGGGAGCTCAGAGGATACACGCCACCTTGGTGTGGATCTACCTCTCAGCTTTCTTCTCCACCCTCCTATCCCTAGGGGATCTGCAGCTCCTTCAGAGTCTCCTGGGAGCCATACAGACCCCATCCCCCCCGAATTCCGTTTCCTTGCAGGTAGGTTTCCATTCTCTTAGTCTTCTTTTACAGCCCCCAGAGGTTTGCGGACCCACAGGATCAAGCAGAGCAGCCGTGCATCACCATGGAGCTATTTTGGGATGCTTGTGCACCTCGCCCTGCAATGAGGCAGTGCCTGCACCCCTTGCTGGCAGGATGGTTCCCTACCCGCTGGCTGAGCATCTCCATCAGGACTGAGACAGGGGGAGATTTTGGTCCACGTGGGCTTTGGCCACAGAGTTCCCATGCTTTGCTGAAGAAGCTGGTGCCTTCCCCGTGTCCTCCCATGCTCGGCAGCGCTGTAATTAACACTGGCCCTGCAGGCGCGATCGGCATCAGGTCTCCCCGGCAATGAGAGCCCTGGGGAGTGTGGAGCCAAAATTACTGCTGTCCCCAGGGAGATGAGAAGAACGGGGAGGCTGGGGACAAGGCTGTGGCGATGTGCTGGAGAGGGGAAGCGGCAGCACCCAATGTCCCACTGCCCCCGCAGCACCCGGAGCTGCTCCCTCTCTGACCACTGCTTGCACAACCCCCCCTTCAGGATTCGAAGCAATCAAGCAGTTTCTTTCCCTTTCTTTTTTTCTGCCCCATCAATATATGTCTAGTGACAAACTTAGCACACAGGAATCCTTTCTCGTGGCGTTTGTCCCTGCCAGGACTCCATCGTTTGAGCGTGGCTTCGTTCTGGGTCCGTCTGAAGTGGTCACCTTGCCCAGCACGGCGTGCAGGTCTGCTTGGCTTTCAGCACCTCCTCAGGCATTTTGTTGTGATCTTTGGTCCTAAAAATACAACCCACCTTCTACTACTTTAATCAGAAAATGTAGGATTTTCTATTTCCCCTGGTCCTTTTCCATTATCTTTTTTTTTTGTTGTTGTTTTCCTCTTCGCTGTCTTCTCTCATTGATTATTCATTTGTTTCTCGTGCCAACAGAGGAGTTTGCTGCAAAATCTGGGCCACAGCAGGAGTGGGGCTGCCTGTCCCAGCTGCAGCCCCTTCCCTCCAGCCCTGCGGGGCTCTGCTTCCCCTGCCACAACCGGGACAATGGGGAGGGATGGATGGAGTCCGTTTGGCTGCAGGGCAGGTTGTGGTTGGCTTGGTATTATAGCAAAGGTTTTAAAAGACCAGCTTGGGGAAGGGAAAAAAAAAATTGAGACCCAGAGAAGACACTAAGGGATGTGATGAGTGCAATTGCAAGGGACATTTTCTTACTCTCTTGAGGTTGTTTCAGGTCACCGGGTACCAAACCTGGTGTGAGCAGAGGAAATTTGCCATGAGAAATCAGGCAATTGTCCTTACCTGGTCTGCGCTGCATTCATCTTATTGCTGACAAAGCTCAGCCTTCGCTGAGATGACTGAAGGTCCCTTGCATCCAGCAGGCGGGGCCCTTTCAGCCTGTGGTTTGAGTAAATACTGCAAATCCCCCTATTTTTACTTGTTACTCTGACGTTAATGGTCATTGCAAAGCCACAAGCACGACCCGGCGGTGTGAAACGCCTTTTCTTTATGCAACGAAAAGGAACAGCACCCACCAGCTGA